TATGACGTTCCGGGTTGGACTTGTGAATCTTTGAACCCCAAATCGTTGCAAAACGGCGAACCGATCTTCAGCACGGAAAATACTCTGAGAATATCCATTGACAAAATAAACGTCACTTATAACCTGAAGAAGCTTGATAAATATACCTTTATTCCATAACCATAAAACCAATAATATGCATGTATGAAAAGAGGGCAAATTTTGGGGTACAACAGTTGCCCCTGTTCAATCTTCTTAAACCTAAAGATTTAGATTGGCTCGTCTGCCTTTCGTGATCTGAAGGTGGAAGATGATTGAACACTAGAGTGCCCAGAAAATTGCACTCGTATGAAGTGGTAATTGTGATGTCAGGAATGGGTTTACATATGCCATTTGGAAATTGCTGACAAGGGGATGGGCTTAAAGATGCCATCTGAAGGAGTATCGATCGCATAAGAGATTCCTTAGCGAGATCTTGTATACTTGTGGTTTGAGAAAGATTCCACTGGGGAAGTCTGATCTTTGTTGAGATTTAGGAACTTTTCCGTAATTCAACTGAGGTGTCGAGATTTAGGAACTTGCCCGTAATTCAACTGAGGGGAAACATCTTCGTCGAGATTTAAGAACTCACCCGTAATTCAACTGAGAAAACTTCTCTGCTGAGATTTAGGAACCTGTCTCTAATTCAACGGAGGAAATTTGTCGAGATTTAGGACCTTGTCTGTAATTCAACTGAGAAAAACTCTGTTGAGATTTAAGAACTTGTCAGTAATTCGACTGGAGGGAAACATCTTCGTCGAGATTTAAGAACTCGCTCGTAATTCAACTGAGAAAACTTCTCTGCTGAGATTTAGGAAATCGTCTGTAATTAAACGGAGGAACTTTGTCGAGATTTAGGACCTTGCCTGTAATTCAACTAAGAAAAACTCTGTTGAGATTTAAGAACTTGTCAGTAATTCGACTGGAGGGAAACATCTTCATCCAGATTTAAGAACTCGCTTGTAATTCAACTGAGAAAACTTCTCTGCTGAGATTTAGGAATTCGTCTGTAATTCAACGGAGGAACTTTTTCGAGATTTAGGACCTTGTCTGTAATTCAACTGAGAAAAACTCTGTTGAGATTTACGAACTTGTCAGTAATTCGACTTGGGGAAACATCTTTATCGAGATTTAAGAACTTGCCCATAATTCAACTGAGAAAACTTCTCTGTTGAGATTTAGGAACTTGTCTGTAATTCAACGGAGGAACTTTGTCGAGATTTAGGACCTTGTCTGTAATTCAACTGAGAAAAACTCTGTTGAGATTTAAGAACTTGTACGTAATTCGACTAGAGGGAAACATCTTCGTCGAGATTTAAGAACTCGCCCGTAATTCAATTGAGAAAACTTCTCTGCTGAGATTTAGGAACTCGTCTGTAATTCAACGGAGGAACTTTGTCGAGATTTAGGACCTTGCCTGTAATTCAACTGAGAAAGACTTTGTTGAGATTTAAGAACTTGTCAGTAATTCGACTGGAGGGAAACATCTTCATCGTGATTTAAGAACTCTCCTGTAGTTCAACTGAGAAAACTTCTCTGCTGAGATTTAGGAATTCGTCTGTAATTCAACGGAGGAACTTTGTCGAGATTTAGGACCTTGCCTGTAATTCAACTGAGAAAAACTCTGTTGAGATTTAAGAACTTTTCAGTAATTCGACTTGGGGAAACATCTTCATCGAGATTTAAGAACTTGCCCGTAATTCAACTGAGAAAACTTCTCTGCTGAGATTTAGGAACTTGTCTGTAATTCAACAGAGGAACTTTGTCGAAATTTAGGACCTTGTCTATAATTCAACTGAGAAAAACATCTCTGCTGAGATTGAAGAACTTGTCAGTAATTCGACTTGGGGAAACATCTTCATCGAGATTTAAGAACTTGCCCGTAATTCAACTGAGAAAACTTCTCTTCTGAGATTTAGGAACTTATCTGTAATTCAACGGAGGAACTTTGTCGAGACTTAGGACCTTGTTTGTAATTCAGCTGATAAAAACATCTCTGTTGAGATTTAAGAACTTTTTAGTAATTCGAATGGAGGGAAACATCTTCCTCGAGATTTACGAACTCGCCTGTAATTCAACTGAGAAAATTTCTCTGCTGAGATTTAGGAACCTGCCTGTACTTCAACGAAGGAACTTTGTCGAGATTTAGGACCTTGCCTGTAATTCAACTGAGAAAAACTCTGTTGAGATTTAAGAACTTGTCAGTAATTCGACTGGAGGGAAACATCTTCGTCGAGATTTAAGAACTCGCCCATAATTCAACTGAGAAAACTTCTCTAGTGAGATTTAGGAACTCGTCTGTAATTCAATGGAGGAACTTTGTCGAGATTTAGGACCATGTCTGTAATTCAGCTGAGAAAAACATCTCTGCTGAGATTTAAGAACTTGTCAGTAATTCGACTGGAGGGAAACATCTTCATCGAGATTTAAGAACTCGCCCGTAATTCAACTGAGAAAATTTCTCTGCTGAGATTTAGGAACCTGTCTGTACTTCAACAGAGGAACTTTGTCGAGATTTAGGACCTTGTCTGTAATTCAACTGAGAAAACATCTCTGCTGAGATTTAAGAACTTGTCTGTACTTCGACTGAGGTAAAAGCTTCATAGCTTTGAATTTTATGAGAATTTAACCGCATCCTTCCTGAAAGGTAAAGGTTAGATGTATGTAATGCATGATATGTATCAAGCAATGATGTTCTCAAAATAAATGAGATCGTGCCGTATGATGCGTATATGCATGTGTCATGATATATGGAAATGTAATATTTTTAGCTGGGGAAAATAAATCCCAGATAGCTGTTGGAGAAAAGAGTTGAATTCTTCGTTTTCTGCTGGGGATGGCGAACGAAGACGACTGTGAGAATAAACCTGCAAGAGAGGATAACTCCGTTGGGGAATAAACTGATGAGGAGATTACTCTGTGGGGAAGAGATGCTCTGTAGAGGATTCCACTGATAAGTTCAGCTGGGGATGAATTACCGTTGCTGGTGATAATAAATCCTGTTGGGGATTGAATTCCTGTTTGTGAAAGGAATGAACTCCGCTGGGGATGATCTTCAGCTGCGATTTCACTGGGATAACTTTTAGACTCTACTGGGAACAATTATCCAAGGTCTACTGGGGATGATTCTCCACACTCCACTGGGGAAGCTTTTTCAGACTGCGCTGGGGAAAATTTCAAACTCCACTGGGGATATTTTATACTCCGCCAGGGGTGATAAGACTTTTCAGTGTTGATGGTAGATAAACTCTGCTTGGGGAGAATATTACTGATTCATTCACAGTTGCGAGTCTCATCTGGGGATTAGCTAACACCATTATCTTTCTCCTTACTCTGCGGGGAGTGAATGTTATTGGGACGCGTGCTGAGGATATGATGATGGCTTTGCATCGAGACTTTTCTGCCCCTGTTTCTGCGGGAGAAGGTTCCTGCGGAGGCCTTGTGGATCGAGTATCGTTGTACCCCAATTTTTGACCTAAGATCCCATTTTTATTTTTTCATTTTTAAAGATAAGTCAAGGTCACGAAATACAGTCGGTTTTAACCTCTCACTTTCAAGCGTTGACTATGCGAAGATTGTCAAGTGTTTTGAACATTTTTAGCCTATGTATCACTAATTTCTAATCACATACAAAGGTGTATGTTCATGTTTTCTTTTGTTTCATGTGCAGAGACAGGTCTGAATCAAGAGCATCAGGTGTCGCGCCTCAATTAAGGTTTTGAGTCTCCCAAGCCAAAAGTACGGTTGATTGTGGATTCTCGAAGACTGATTCATCAAGGCACAACCGTTGCACCCTTAATTTCGCCCCTAATTTCTTCAGTCGCACATTCATACCATATTTTGTCATTTGGTCACAATCATTAGTAAATATCTTCATTCATCATATTTTGCATCATTAGTCGTATTTAAGTTTAATAATAAAAATATTTTGGTTTTATAGACAAACTGTTAAAAGCGATTCGACGCTATGCGGGAAAGTAGCGAGAAAATATTTCAAGTTTTCACCTTTTACCGATCATTTTATGAATCTGCGCTTCACGTAGATTATGACGGTATGCTCGCTTTATTTTTCGGTACAGTTCGAAGTCTCGTTTTAACCTTAAACGTCTGTTTAGTCTGATATTTTTATTATTATTTTATTTTTGATTTTTGACTTCTTGAATATTTTTTCTTTAATCTTTGTGACATGTAGATTATTTTAATGTGTTCATTTTATTTTTTCGGATAAATTTTCGTCCGTTTTTTTATCATTTTTGGTCATTTTGGGTCTTTATTTTTTATTCAGAAAAATTCCAAAAAACTTATTTTAAATTGAGTTAATTTTAATACTTTCAGTTTTTATTTCATTTTTATCATTTAAGGGCGTTTTTGTCATAAAAAATATTGAATACACTATACTTGATTTTTATTGGTTGTTGACAAAAGTTGAGGATTAATGCCTATTGAATAATTTTGAACGGTTGAGATTAATTTTGAAATCAAATTCTGTTTTTTCAGTTTTTCTATATAAAGCTCATTTTACACTTTGGAACACCACACTTATCCCTTTCTCTACCAATAAAACAAAATTCACAGTAACATACTTCATTTTCAATTCAATGTAACAACCTTCTATACAACCTAAACCCTTTCCATCTCTCTATTTCCCACGAACCTTTATTCTATTCCCAAACTACCACAACCACACCAAAAACAACAAAAAAACAACACAGTAAATAAATTTCCCTTCATCTTTCAATATCCCTTTCCTACTCTCAATTCATTTCCCTCTCTCTCACAAATTTCCTCTGTTATAACTCAATCTCAATTCAACAATCTCAATCCAACGGCCTATATTCAACACAAACAAGATCTAATCTGATCCAATGGGCTCTGTTTCTTCAGAACTGAGTTTAGATTTAACACCCACTTTCGTTCCCAAAACCATCGCTAGTTTTCTCTACAATATATCCCCAATTCTTCTCCAAGCAGAGAAGGACATAATGAGCAGACGTTCGAGCAGAACCATTTATGTTGGGAATCTACCCGGCGATATCCGTGAAAGAGAAGTTGAAGATTTGTTCATGAAGTACGGACACATAGCTCACATTGACCTAAAGGTTCCGCCAAGGCCCCCCTGGCTATGCATTTGTAGAGTTTGATGATGCTCAAGATGCTGAGGATGCAATTCGTGGGCGTGATGGTTATGATTTTGACGGGCGTCGGTTAAGGGTGGAGGCTGCTCATGAGGGTCGTGGTACTGGTAATTCATCTTCAAGAGATAGACATAGTAGTCAAAGCAATGGCAGGGGTGGACGTGGAGTATCCAGGCGCTCTGAATACCGTGTTCTAGTTAGTGGATTGCCATCTTCTGCATCCTGGCAGGATCTTAAGGATCACATGCGAAAAGCAGGGGATGTTAGCTTTTCCCAAGTTTTTTCACGATGGAAGGGGTACTACTGGAATTGTGGATTACACAAATTATGATGATATGAAATATGCTATCAAAAAGCTTGATGACTCTGAGTTCAAAAATGCATTTTTCCAAGTCTTATGTTCGGGTGAGGGAATATGATTCGAGGCGGGACTCAAGAAGTCCTAGTCGTGGCCCATCTCATTCTAGAGGAAGAAGCTACAGCCGTAGCCGTAGCCGCAGTCGTAGTGACAGCCCTGTGCGGAGCCCAAGCAAATCTCCAAATGTTAAATCCTCACAACGATCACCTGCTAAATCTCCAGCCAGATTGGTTTCTCGTTCTCGCTCAAGATCTAGGTCCCGTTCTTTATCAGGATCACGGTCAAGGTCAAGATCTCCATTACCTCTGCGTAACAAAAGCCCTATAAAGCGCAGTGCTAGCAGGAGTCCAAGTAGGAGCAGGAGTCCAAGTAGGAGCCGAAGTAAAAGTCTATCCAGGTAAGCTCTAATTGTCAAAATTGAAGAAGTGGATGTGTGAGAGCTACAGAGTTTTTCTAGTTAAATTTGACGTTGGCCGGGTTGAAGTTGTTTGAACTTTAAACTCCTTTGAACTGTACTCGAGAGACCCGTGCCTTATGGCACCTCAGGCTAGGAGGAAACTACCCGAGACCGTACCGGAGTTGAAGTCTTCGTCGGAATCTTCGAAGGTAGGTATATGAATTCTTCTTTATTTTGAGCTTTTCACTTACTTATTTGTTCTGTTTGAATCAGAAGTTCAGGAACATAGGGATTTTGGACTGAGATTTCTTCCATCCGTGCGTGCGACTGCAGTAGCAGCGTGTTTCGTTTGCTTAGGATACTGCCAGTTCTTTGAAAGCTCAAACTTGATCAGCAAAAGAGTGTTGTGGACAACCTTGTCTCAAATACACGCAAAAGAGGGACAAAGGGAGAAGGTAAAAGGGAGATTGTAGGTTGCAAATTATTTCAATTCACACTCACTGTATGTTTACATTATTGTATAGTTTTTATTATTGTTTTTATTTCCACTTGTCACTAATTGATTGGTTGGAGATAAATGTTGAAAATTTCTTTTTATCTTATTTAGCTTTCACAAAATCATTTAGCGTTGTTTGGATTTTTTTGTTTTGTTTTATCTAATTACTTTTATTTATTTAATTTAGTTTTATTAGATTCTTATTTATTGAATTAGTTAATTTTAGTTGTTAGTAAAAAATCAGGAAAAATACAAAAATAGTATAGGTTTATAATTATTTTTCACCTAAAAAAAATGTCATAAAAATTATATTAGAATTGTCTTTCTTTTATTTTGACTAAATGTCAGTTATTTAATTTCCTTTTTTTCAATTATTCGATCTTTATATTCTGTTTACGCCATAAAAATTATACTAATTGTCTTTCTTTTATTTTTGATTAATTGTTAGTTGTTTAATTTCTTTTCGATTATTTAATCTTTATATTTTTATTTGCGTCAACTCCAAGGGAATGAATTAAATTTGTTGACTTCATGTCATCGAACATATCTCATACAATCGTGCGAATAACCTCATTCATTTTTTTGCTTGTTTACTATTTTTCCAAACTTAAGTTAAATCTCCTCAAAACCTAATTTCAAACATACACCCTTTTAAGTCAAAACTTCGACACTAGGTCGTCGCATCTTCAAAATCTCGTCCGTACCCATTTTTAGCCAAATAAACCATTTTAATCAAACCAACAATTTCTAACCAAAAAACAGATATTTCAAAAGGTTCCTACGGAGTACCGCAGATGCATTGGGTGCTAATACCTTCCCATTGTATAACCAACCCCTGAACTCTCGATCTCTTTTCAAAACGCATTGTATTTTCATTACTTTTAAGTATTACTTTACATTGCATATTTTAGGGTTTTATTTCGCTCTTTTCCCTTTTCCCTTGGAAATAATAAAGCGCGGTGGCGACTCTTGCTTTTGCGAGTCAAGTTAATTAATAGCTTGATCTCCGATTTTCACCGCTACAGAATTGGCGACTCTGCTGGGGAATAATTGACCTCTTGCTGGTCCATCCCTAAGTGGGTTAAGCCTAATTTGTTTTATCTGTTTTATCATTATTTGATTGTTTGATTATATGTATATATTATGATTATTTGGGTGTTGATAATATTTACAAAGGACAAGTCCTATACCCGGACTAAGTTACACTTAGGAATAGGACGGGCGGTATAGTCATGTTAACTTTGAGGGAGTAATCCCGAAGAAGGAGGCATAAGATCCCCCACTCAGTGGAAGGCCCTTTTGAACGTAATATTTGTTTACCGAGTAATCGGGAAGGCATTATTATTTTCGACCTGGGAGCCAGAGAAGCTGGGAACCGTAGAACCCTAACCCATCTTGGCCTTTTAGGTGTAGCACGGAGATTATAACGGAGTAATCCGGAAGTAATTGTTACGCGATGCTACGCTCGGATGAGTTTCTCTTGAGAATATTGCTGATTATTGAGTAATCAAGACGTTGGTAATATCCGAAGGAGGAATGTAGACTCCAGGAACTCTTAGAACCTTGTTCTACAGGTGTGATTAAACCGTTAGTACATACCTTGGGGGTGTTCCTTACCTTGACTCCACGCTCGTGACGTTGAACCTTTCGACTCTATTTGTGACCTTGCTTGTGGTTGTTGCATAGCCATGCATTCATGCGTCCATAAAACCCTTTTCACTTGACTTTGAAGGAATTTGGAGGTTTTTCTTTGTAAACATCACAAGTTTCGTCAAGCTCAATGGAATTTGGGTGTTGATAGGGCGAAAACCCTAATCCACCAAAATGGATGATTGATCTTGATGATAACTTGATCAATGTTTGGAGCCAATTTAAAATTTATCTTCTATCTTCATACTTTGATGTTTACAACTTAATATCTCGAGCTCCTTGAAAGTCAAATAAAAACTCTCTTTTGCATATCATGCATCATTCTACATTTGTGGTTTCACTTTCAAAGGTCTTTTTCCAAGTCTTATTTTTTCCTTTGGTCTCACCGGTACAACACTCACGCTAAGAGAACAATGGAGAATATCAAGCAAGAGGTTTCTGAACTCCGTAGAGAGATGACTAATTTGAAAGCTAGTGTGGAGTGCTTAACTGGTTTGGTTGAAATTCTGGTTGCCGCCCAAGTCAATCCTTCTAGGAGGGAGGAAGCGATGATAAAAGTATTCACTGAAACTCTAAAATCATTCTCTCATGAGAAGGTGGTGGTTAATGCACCTAATGACTTTCTTGACAAGGTGAATGTGGGAGTGCGTCTAGAAGAAGACGTTGGGAAGGGATGTTCATATGAAGATGGTAGCTCAGCTAATGGTGTGAAGAAGTTTGATAATAACTTTTCCAAGAAGAGAACCATAGGAAGAAATATTCATCGTCCAAATCATCATGTTCCTCCTATTCATCAACAAAATCAGCAAGTTCCTAATCAGAGGAAAACCCAGTTTGATCCAATTCCAATTACCTATACAGAGTTGTTTCCTATCCTGATGCAGAGGAATTTGGTTCAGACCCGACCTCCACCGAAGGTTCCTGAGAAGATACATTGGTACTACAAAGCTGATTTGGCTTGTACCTTTCACCAAGGTGCTCCTGGGCATGACTTGGAGGGTTGCTTTGCTTTGAATATTGAGGTTCAGAAGTTGGTCAGAAGTGGTATCTTGTCATTCAAGAACGTTGGTTTTGAAGTTCAATTCAAGCATGTGCCGAAGAGTAAACACGATTGATGGTCACTTTGAGTTTTGAAGGATGTTTTTGGTAATTCAAGTCCAGATGGAAAGCCTTCCCAGATTTTTAACTTATTTCTGCTTTTTGTAACTTTTCTTATTTATCAAAACATTGTTTGCATGTAAGAACTTGTTTGTATCTGAATGATTATCTTAATACAATGAGTATGTTTGTCTTGAAGAAATTCATTCATTTCACTCATATTTGTTTTCAAATTTTAAATTTCTTTTTGCATTATGATACCAACTTGTTGCCCATTCTCTTGCCTAGGCAGAGATTGAAGGGAGGATGATGATCTAAAGAACACAAAATCTCTGGTTGTTTGCTTTTGGATAAAATCTTGCTGATGATGTACAGGCATTGTTTCAAATCCCTAAACACCGGAGATATAAGGAAGATAATCCCTTGCTAACCCCTTTTGAGCCTTTGAAGCAGAAGTTTCTTTTCTATACGAAAAAACCTTGAATTTTAACCTGGGGCAGGGTAGTTTTTAGTTAATCTGACTGAGTGTTCAAAATTCATAAGGAAGATGTTTTTTGAAGAGAAACTACGAGGGCTATCCTTCATGTATAATGAATCTAGAGGATGTGGAACCACAATGTTATCCCTCATTCATCAAGAAACGAGGCAATCACAATATTCTCAACAAGCAAATGCAAGCTAATGTCACACATTTTGTTCAAAAAGTCAAAAATAGAGAAAAAAAGAAAAAGCCTGCTAAGTCAAAAAACATGAAAACGTGGGACTTAGGCAAAATTAAGGCATCTCGCTGGACTATCAATTCAAAAGAATTAGTTCAGGCAAAAGTTAGGGAAAATAAAAATTGCAAAGAAAAGGACTGCAAAGAAAAGTCCTCAACAAAGAACAAATTGGTGACTACAAACACGAAGACATGAGGGCGGTTTCTACTCCGAAAGCCTCGTCGTTTCCTTGACCGTCACAAAATCCTTTTGAGAGATGAACACTCATGTTGAATTAACTGAACATAGGGTTGGAGAACATCACGAAGAATGGGTGGGCACCAAATATTTTGAGCCTTAAAATCTTTTTTCTAAAAACCATGAACCAGACCACGTTACAACCTTCAAAAGTCCTAATTGAAGCGAGGTTATTTTGAAAGCATACTTCAATTAGATAGTGTTCCTGACTCCCATGAATGTTCTAAATAGTTATGTTGGTATAATATGTTTTTCCTATACAAAAATAAATGGTGCTTTAACGCGCAAATTTGTGCGATATCTTTCAAAATCTTCAAGACTTACATAACTGTTGCATTAGAATTTTCATTCTCATTGTAAACTTTTTCTAACTGCAAAACATTTGTTTGATATCAAGGAAGCTCACATATAAGCACTAGTGATGAGTTTATTCTTTTAAGGCCTGAAACTCTGTTGAGTAATGGGCGAATCATTTCAAGAAAAAATCATATGCAGGGGCATGTCACCTGAAGAACTTAAGCACGGACGTGTTGCTTCTCCTAATTAATGCTTTCCCAACTTGTTTACTCTTTTGGGGCAAAAATTCGAAGACTTTGTTTTGCCGACTACAGTCAATCCGGGGCAATCACGTAGAGATTTGATGAATCTCTCTAAGAGTTTGAAGACACCAGAGCATGGTGAGTTCCAGGTCTTTTGTAAAATCCTCTTGAGACGTTTTCTCCTCATCAACCATATAGCTCGGGGCATGTTAGAAGTGAAGCTATTCGCCAGAATTATCGTGCAACATGCAGCTTATCAGCAGTA